ATTTTTATGCAAAGGAAAGAAGTAACAGCTAAAGAAAGAAATCTATACAAATTTAAATTTTCTAGTGGCATACCTGTGTATCATATGCTGTAAGGAGATATGCTGAAGCTTGATCAGGAAGGAAGAAATTTCAACAAAGAAAGAAGCAAAGCAGTGCCAACCTTATCCTTCTTCAATTCATGTAGTGGAGTCCCTTACCTAGGAAGTAAGAATAAGACTTGGTCAATTCTCATCTGGAAAATTTTTAAAGCTTTTAAAAATGAAATTTCAAAAATATAAATTTCTATAAAATGATCTAGAAAGAAGTTTAAGATAAAACATTTTTATCCACTCTGTAAGCATATGCTTTGGATTTCTACATTTTTTGAGTAGGACATGCATTACAAATTTGACTATTTTTATTTTTAAATCACTTTGTCGTGAAGTATTACATACTTATAAAAAAGTATAGGAAACATATATGTACAATTTCATAAGGTTATTACACAAACACTAGTCCAACTGCCACCTAGGCCAAGGGTAACTCCAGAAAGGCTGGGTGCCTCTCTGACCCCAAGCCCCTTCTCCCATAAATAACTACTACTTAATTTTTATGGTTATCATTTCTTCACTTTTATTTAGAGATTTATCCCCTAGGTGTGTAGCTCTACCATACATAAGTTTATTTTTGCCTGCTTCTGAATTTTATATAAATAGAATCTTACTGTATATATTCTTTTGTCTTCTTTTTTTTTTTTTGCTCAACATTGTTTTTGCTGTATCTGTAGTTTATTTTCATTGCTGCGTAATAGTCCATCAGGTAAACACACCATAATTTAGTTATCCATTCCCTTGTCCCCTGGGTAGTTTCTACTTTGGAGCAAGTATGAACACTAAGATATTGCTGGTACAGCTATCTCAAGCCCTTAGGTATGTATTTCTCTGGTGTATACACCTAGAAGTATGATTGCTAGGTTACTGGGTATATTCAACTTTGCTACATAAAGCCAAACTATTTCTGAAAGCAGTTGTAACAACTTATACTCCCACCAGAAGGGTATGAGAGGGTTTCTGCTGCTCAACTTTTTCAACACAACTGGTCAGATTTTTTAATTCCTGTTAACTGAACAGCTGTGCAGTAGTAACCTAAGAATTCTTCATTATAGAATTTTATAATTATTGTGAATAAAGAATTCATGAAATTTTTAAATCTGACAATCACTGCAACGGAAATTTAATTTTGCAATGAAGCATCTGTTCACTTTTCCTATGGTTCCTATACCCTTCTTTCTCACCAGGTATAAATTCCCTCTCTCAGTCCACCAGCTTCCAGAGACACTCCTCCAACCTCCGGGCAGAGAGGAAGTATGTGATTTGGGCCTGGCCAATCAGAGCATCCTATTCCCCTGACCAGAGTTAGGGGAACACCCAGGTCAGAATTGATGAAGTCTTTTCTTCCCACTCTGGGACTTATAGAGATTCTTGCTCTTTCACAAAGAACCTGAACATGAATACACAGAAGTCTGCAGCTGATGCTGCCATCTGGCAACTACGAGTGAAGAGCCTGTCTGAGAACACAGCACAGGGGGAAATGATGCTGGGGAAGAAACGGAGCCACCTGGAGCAACTACAGCTAGCCACTGGTGATCAATAAATCCCCTTGTTACTTACAACAGCTATGGTTTAGAGTTTTCTAAAATTTACATCAGAAAGCTCTCACTGATACAATCACATATTCAAAAACATGGGTTTTAATCTTGTACTCAAACTGCGCACATCAATTAAGGTAATAAATGATAACACATGTATGTATACACACATTCTCAATATTCCTTTAATCACATTTGGTAAATTTATAAACTTTTTAAATGGTTATAGGACTAGTTAAGGTTTTCTATTCCTTCTTCAATTACTTTTTTTTTTTGAAACAGAGTCAGCCTAGCTCACAGCAGCCTCAAACTCCTGGGCTAAAGCGATCCTCCTGCCTCAGCCTCCTAAGTAGCTGGGACTATAGGTGCATGACACCACACCTGGCTAATTGTTCTATTTTTAGTAGAGACGGGGTCTCACTCTTGCTCAAGCTGGTCTCAAACTCCTGACCTCAAGCGATCCTCCCTCCTCGGCCTCCCACAGTGCTATGATTACAGGCATGAGCCACCACACCCGGCCAGAATATCCCCTCCTATTTTTCTGAAAAAGTCTTTGCCAGGTTAGTATTATTTTTTCCTTAAGTATTTAATACAATTTGCCAGTGAAGCCCATTTGTGCCTGGAGTTTTCTCTGAGGCAAGTATTTTAACTAAAAATTCAATTTCTTTAATAAATATAGAGTTATACGAGTTACATATCTCTTCTTAAGTTTCGGTGCTTTGTGTTCATTTCATTTAAAGTTGTCAGATTTATTGACATGAAAGTATTCATAATATTTCTTATGATCCTTTCATTGTACAATTTGTAGTAATATCTCTTTTTATTAACATATTCCTCATACTAGCAATTAATGTTTCTTTTTTTCCCTGATGAAATATTTTTCTGGATATAATATATATTTTTAACTTATCACAGTTTACCTTCAGATATATCACATCACTTAAGTTATGGAATCTTGTAACACTGTACTTCCACTTCTCGCCTCCCACCCTTTGTGCTACTGTTGCCGTTTATTTACAAGTATTACAAGTCCCACAATACGTGGTTATTTTTGCTTTAAATAGTCTTTTTTTTTTTTTTTTTTTTTGAGACAGTCTTGCTTTGTCACCCTGGCTAGAGAGCAGTGAGCAGTGGCATCATCCTAGCTCACTGCAACCTCAAACTCCTGGGCTCAAGCAATTGTCCTGCCTCAGCCTCCCGAGTAGCTGGGGCTACAGGCGTACGCCACCAAACCGGGCCTTAAATAATCAATATTTTTTTAAGTGTAAAAGTGAGAACACCCATCTATTGACTATTTCTGGTTCCCTTCATTCCTTTGTGTAAAAATTTCCATCTGATATTTTCCTTCTATTTGAACTTCCTTTAATATTTCAAGTAGTACAGTTCTGGTGGCAATTAATTCTCACAACTTTTCTTGGCCTAAAAATTTATTTCACCTTAATTTTTTAAAGATGTTTTCGCTGGGTACAGAATTCTAAGCTAAAAGGTTTTTTTCTTTCAGTATTCCAAAATGTCACTCCGTCATCTTCTAGCTTACACAATATCTGACCAGAAGTCTGTGTTATTAGTATCTTTGTTCCTCTGTAACGTGTCTTCTTTTCTTCTGGCTTCTTTTTAAGATTTTTCTCTTTAGCACTGTTTTTTTAGGAATCTGATTATGAAGTACCTCGGTAGGTTCTGTATGTTTATTTTGTTTAGGGTTTTTGAGCTTCGTAGTTTGCAGTTTTCATCAAATTTGGAAAAATTTCAGCCATTACTTAAATATTGTTTATATTCCCTCCTCTTCTTCTGAAACTATAGTTACACATATCCTGGACTAGCTGATTTTGTTCCACAAGTCACTGATGCTCTGTTATTTCATTCAGTCTTTATTCTCTGTGCTATACTTCGGATTGTTTCTATTGTTATATTGTGAGGTTCACTGATCTTTTCTTCTATAGTACAAATCTGCTGTCAATCTACTGTATTTTTCATTTTAGATATTGTATTTTCATCTCTAGAGGTCTACTTTAATCTTTTTTTATATCTTTCATTTCACTCACCATTATGTTCATGTTTTTCCTACATTCTTGAACATGTACAACATATTTATAAATTATTTTAATGTCCTTTGCTAATTCTATCATCTTTTGTCATTTTTGGGTCTGCTTCTACTGATTGATTTCCCTCCTGGTTAGTATCATATTTTCTTGCTTCTTTGTGTACCTGGTAATTGTGTATTAGATGCTAGACATTTTTTTTTTTTTACATTTTTGGGTGCTGGATTATATCGTATCCTTTTAAATACAGGTGGGGCTTTGTTCTGGGAATCCAGTTCAGTTACTTGGAATCAGTTTAGGGTAGATCCAGAGCAGCCTATTAGTCTAGGACTAATTCAGCCCCACTGAATTAGTCCTAGATACTCTTCTGAGGAATCTATCTGATGTCCTAGATGAAAAAGCTGCTCTGAACCCACCCTAACAAAGATGAAAAAGAAAGCCTTAAAAGGATCGAACTGATGCCACTCTGGGGGGTGGGAACACAAATTATTCCCAGCCCTGTGTGACTGATATTCAAGAATTGTTTGTTCTTCCCCTTTCTGGTGGTTCTTTCCCTGGCTTTGAGGTGTTTCCTCTCATGTATGTGCAGATTAGTACTTAAACATGGCTTTAAGGTGGGCCTTCTGTAGATCTCTGGAGTTCTTCTCTAAGCTGCCCCTTTCTCGCTTATATTTTGCTGCACAAATTCTAGCTGCCTTGTCCGCCCCAAACACTGGGTTCTCTTTGACTTCTTTCTTCCTGCCCTGAAATGTGGAAACTGTCTCTTGGCCAAGGTCGACAAACTAAGGCCTGAAAGCCATATCCCACCTGCCGCCTGTTTTTGTAAATAACACTGACATCCACTCATTTACATCCTTGGTATGAAAGCAGCCACAGACCATAGTAGAGTAGTTGTGACAGAGACCAGATGGCCCACAAAGCCTAAAATATTTACCATAATATATGACACTTTATAGAAAAAAGTTTGTAGACTCCTGCTCTAGGGAATAAGCTGGAATATGATGGGACTCATTTCATTTGTTTCCCTTATTTCGGGGAACACACTCCTACCTTGTGTCAAAGGTATGAAAAGTATTGTTTCATACATTTTGTCTGGTTTTCAGGTGGATTACGATGGAAGTCATTTTGAGACTAGGGTGAGGCAAGTGAGACACTTGCGCCAGGCACAAATTTTAAGGGAGTGCCAAAAACCTCTGTAACAGAAATAAAAATCAAAATTAATGAAAAAAATCCATGACAAACAAAATATCAAAACTTTACACAAAGACATATCGGGAGGAGGGTCATGCCAGGCCTCATCAGACAAAAGGAAAACCATTAATACTGACCCTCTCTTTATTCTCTATTTAAAATTTTGATTTTTTTCATCATGGATTTTTTTTTTATTCCAGAGATCATGGATTTTATTTTTTGCATTGAATTTGATTTTTAAAAAGTACTTCATTAAAATATTAATCTCAATTACTGAGGTTTTTGGTGCCCCCTTAAACTGTGTGCAGCCGAGACAAGTGTCTCACTTGCCTCCCCCTAG